TTATCAGTATGATGATTATTCTTTATTATTAATTATTAATTTCACTCTTATCATTATGATCATTATCAGTATGATGATTATCCTTTATTATTAATTATTAATTTTACTCTTATCATTATGATCATTATCAGTATGATGATTATTCTTTATTATTAATTATTAATTTTACTCTTATCATTATGATCATTATCAGTATGATGATTATTCTTTATTATTAATTATTAATTTTATTCTTATCATTATGATCATTATCAGTATGATGATTATTCTTTATTATTAATTATTAATTTTATTCTTATCATTATGATCATTATCAGTATGATGATTATTCTTTATTATTAATTATTAATTTCACTCTTATCATTATGATCATTATCAGTATGATGATTATTCTTTATTATTAATTATTAATTTTATTCTTATCATTATGATCATTATCAGTATGATGATTATTCTTTATTATTAATTATTAATTTTATTCTTATCATTATGATCATTATCAGTATGATGATTATTCTTTATTATTAATTATTAATTTTATTCTTATCATTATGATCATTATCAGTATGATGATTATTCTTTATTATTAATTATTAATTTTATTCTTATCATTATGATCATTATCAGTATGATGATTATTCTTTATTATTAATTATTAATTTTATTCTTATCATTATGATCATTATCAGTATGATGATTATTCTTTATTATTAATTATTAATTTTATTCTTATCATTATGATCATTATCAGTATGATGATTATTCTTTATTATTAATTATTAATTTTATTCTTATCATTATGATCATTATCAGTATGATGATTATTCTTTATTATTAATTATTAATTTTATTCTTATCATTATGATCATTATCAGTATGATGATTATTCTTTATTATTAATTATTAATTTCACTCTTATCATTATGATCATTATCAGTATGATGATTATCCTTTATTATTAATTATTAATTTTACTCTTATCATTATGATCATTATCAGTATGATGATTATTCTTTATTATTAATTATTAATTTTACTCTTATCATTATGATCATTATCAGTATGATGATTATTCTTTATTAATAATTATTAATTTTATTCTTATCATTATGATCATTATCAGTATGATGATTATTCTTTATTAATAATTATTAATTTTATTCTTATCATTATGATCATTATCAGTATGATGATTATTCTTTATTAATAATTATTAATTTTATTCTTATCATTATGATCATTATCAGTATGATGATTATTCTTTATTATTAATTATTAATTTTACTCTTATCATTATGATCATTATCAATATGATGATTATTCTTTATTATTAATTATTAATTTTATTCTTATCATTATGATCATTATCAGTATGATGATTATTCTTTATTATTAATTATTAATTTTACTCTTATCATTATGATCATTATCAGTATGATGATTATTCTTTATTATTAATTATTAATTTTATTCTTATCATTATGATCATTATCAGTATGATGATTATTCTTTATTATTAATTATTAATTTTACTCTTATCATTATGATCATTATCAGTATGATGATTATTCTTTATTATTAATTATTAATTTCACTCTTATCATTATGATCATTATCAGTATGATGATTATCCTTTATTATTAATTATTAATTTTACTCTTATCATTATGATCATTATCAGTATGATGATTATTCTTTATTATTAATTATTAATTTTACTCTTATCATTATGATCATTATCAGTATGATGATTATTCTTTATTATTAATTATTAATTTTATTCTTATCATTATGATCATTATCAGTATGATGATTATTCTTTATTATTAATTATTAATTTTACTCTTATCATTATGATCATTATCAGTATGATGATTATTCTTTATTATTAATTATTAATTTTATTCTTATCATTATGATCATTATCAGTATGATGATTATTCTTTATTAATAATTATTAATTTTATTCTTATCATTATGATCATTATCAGTATGATGATTATTCTTTATTATTAATTATTAATTTTACTCTTATCATTATGATCATTATCAATATGATGATTATTCTTTATTATTAATTATTAATTTTATTCTTATCATTATGATCATTATCAGTATGATGATTATTCTTTATTAATAATTATTAATTTTATTCTTATCATTATGATCATTATCAGTATGATGATTATTCTTTATTATTAATTATTAATTTTACTCTTATCATTATGATCATTATCAGTATGATGATTATTCTTTATTATTAATTATTAATTTCACTCTTATCATTATGATCATTATCAGTATGATGATTATTCTTTATTATTAATTATTAATTTTTACTCTTATCATTATGATCATTATCAGTATGATGATTATTCTTTATTATTAATTATTAATTTTTACTCTTATCATTATGATCATTATCAGTATGATGATTATTCTTTATTATTAATTATTAATTTTACTCTTATCATTATGATCATTATCAGTATGATGATTATTCTTTATTATTGATTAGATTTATTGTAATTAACAATTAGCATAACAAAATTAATAAATAAATAAATAAATATGACATACCTAAATATATTGTAACTTTATATTAGCAGTAGTAAATGCAAAAAATTAATCAGTACTATTAATAATTATTCTATTTTAATTTGTAAATGAATACTTTTCAAAAAATTAAACAATTTTATCGCTTCTAAGAAAAGTGATTAAATTTTTTGATTGAAATGATAACAAAAATAATCATTGATTAGTTTCGATTTTGTTAAAATGTGAACTGATAAATAATGATTGAGTGATTATTGATTTATTGATTAATGCTGGATAAGTGCGAAATGATAACAAAAGATAATTTGCAGAAGTAATCTTTTTTAATTTAATTTAATTTAAACAATTTTGTTTTGAATATCATTAACTATATATGGAAATATTAAATATGAAAACCCATTTTGATTAATTTTTCATCGATATATCTAATATATTTTATTAAAAAGAAAAAAAAAAGAGAGAAATGTTATTTTGAAATTAAATATTTGACAAAAATTTTAGTTTAGTAAAAAAAAAAAGAAAATTTAATAGAAAAATAATTAATTTAATTAAAGATAAAAAAAGAGGAGAAAAATAATGGAAAAATGATAAATGATAATAAAAAAATAACAATTTATCGTTGTTTATTAGTAATATTAATGATGACAATTATCATTTCCAATTAAATATTTTAATTTATAGTTGTAAAAACAATAATTACTATTTTAAAATATAATATTTTGCATTAAAAATGATTAGAATTGTTATAAAGAATATTTTTATTAGTGACAGCAATGATAATTTTTTGATGATGATAATCATTATCATGATAATATCACTATATGCTAAATTTATTTATAAGAATATAATGATTATTTATGATAATAATGATAATAATCATTATGATAATAATGATTACCATGGTATTATGATAGACTAATTTGGCAAAATTTATATATTAAATTTAAGTATAAAAATTATTTTTGTTACTAGCAATAAACGAATATATTTATAATAGTATTAGCGATGATAAATTAATTAATTAATACGAAATATATACATTAAACATATAAAAATAACAATTCTTCTAACAAATTTTAATTAAATTAATTCAAAATCGAATTATCCATTATTTCAGATAAAAAAAAGACAAAAAAAAAAGTAAAACGAATGATTGAATCAGCGTTATTTTTATTTATTCATTTCCTTTCCAAATGCATTCTCTAATTTTTTTTCTGCAGAAAGAAAAAAAAATATTTTCTTTTAAAATGTATTTTTTTTTAAATTTAAATTTAAAATTTCATTTTAGCAATAAAATAATCAAATTCTTCTTGTTATTTTTTTCATTTTTTTTAAAGCTAATCAAAGAAAAAAATTGTTTTTTTTTCTTTTGAAATTTGATTATTTCAATCAAAATTATTTATTTTATTAATTATTAATTTCTGTCATTTTTTTTGTTGTTGTTGAATCGAACATTTTTATTAGTATTACCGTTGCTATGGTAATTATAATCAATATATTTATGATTAAATAAAAGTATTTATTAGTTTGTTTTGTACAATTATCAATATTATATAAATTTTTGAATCTTTTGAAGAAATTCTTATCAATTTTTATAATTTTTTTTTTCTTCAACATGTATTTTTATTTATTTTATTATTATTTATTTATTTTATTTTGTTTATTATGTATTTATTCATTAATTATTAATTAATTAATTTATTTTATTTACTTTTTTACTGTGTATTTGTTTATTAATTATTAATTCATTTGTTTTATTTATTTTTTTATTATGTATTTATTCATTAATTATTAATTAATTAATTTATTTTATTTACTTTATTATTGCGTATTTGTTTATTAATTTATTAATTTATTTTATTTACTTTTTTATGTATGTTATGTATGTGTTTATTAATTATTAATTCATTAATTTATTTATTTCATTTACTTTTTTATTGTGTATTTATTCATCGATTATTAATTTATTAATTATTAAATTGAATAATTATACAAATTACATCGATTTCAGGTTAATAGCAACTAATTATTATTATTACTACTACTACTATTACAATTCACTAACAACAATTTTTAAATAGCATTTAAAAAAAAAAAAATAAAATTTTTTTTTTCTCCATCAAAATATTAATGATATATTATCAATTTTGGATTAATTCCTACTGCTGTTTACGTCTATTCAAAATTATATTTCAATTTCTGAATGTCTAACAGGAAAGTATTTATTTGGAAAATTGAATCGTTTAAATATTGCTATTATTACTATTTGTTCTGATTATTATTCATAAACAAACCTAATCAATCATTCATAAGTAAATAATCACGATAAATAACGATTATTATTGATTTTCTCACTATTATTACTATTATTATTACTATTACTACTATTACTACTACTACTACAACTACTTGTCACCATTATTATTATTATTATGACATTATACATGTCAACTGATGCAATTGATGCATATAGTATTGCAACATTAGCTGGTGCGCCATATGCGCAATTGTTATCACAATCATTGATTACTTGGCCATTAATATTTGTCCTATTTACTTTACCAGCAGCAAATTTACTTATCAATTTAGGCCATGTTTCGGGTGCTGGACCTGTGCTAACATTTGCTCGTATTGCACCAATTGCATCCGGTAATTTAATACTTAAAAATGAATAATAAATTAGTTTGGTTTTCATTTTTACTTTTTCTAAATGATAAGTTAATACAATATACTTATTAATGTTTCTGATATAAATTAGTTATAATTAAATAATTATTTAATAAATAAGTTGCGGTTTTGTTCTTTATTTTTTAAATGATAAATTAATACAACATACTTATTAATGTTTATGATATAAATTAGTTATAATTAAATAATTTTCATATTACAATTTTTAAATTTTAAATTTGAGAAATGTAAAAAATGAAATAGTATATAAGCCAATTTATTTTTTTATTTTATATATTTAAAAAATTACTAATGTGTACAAATTTAAAATAGAAATTTATAAAAAAAATTTTTTTTTGAAAACAAGTTTATATTTTAAATGCTTTAATTTAATTTTTATTTTTATTAACTGCAATGTAATATTTATCGTTTTCTTTTCTCTCTCTCTCTCTCTTCTCTTTCTTTTTGTAGCTTTTTCTTATTTTGAAATTAATAATTTTGTTTTTTCTTTCTTCTCACATAGGAAATATAGAAAGGAAATTAAATTAATTACAATTTTTCTTTTTTTTAACATCACTGAATGGATTAGATGGTTTTAATACTATTTTTTCATTTTATTTTTCTCTTTTTTATCATTCATTCCAATTTCTCATTTTTCTTTTCTTTTTTTTTTCTTTTTCTCTTTTTAATTTAATCAACATTTCTTCTTCATTTCTTTCTCTTTTCATCAATAATAATAATAATAATAATAATAATAATAATAATAATAATAATAATAATAATAATAATAATAATAATAATAATAATAATAATAATAATAATAATAATAATAATAATAATAATAATAATAATAATAATAATAATAATAATAATAATAATAATAATAATAATAATAATAATAACAATAATAATAATAATGATAACAATAATTTTTTGCTCTTTTATAATTTTATCAATTCAATTTTGCTTTTTTACATTTCAATCGATAATTTTATGAATAAATTTAAGTTTTAAAAAAAGAAAATGACAAAGTAAAAGTTTCCTCTCAATTTAATTTTTTTTTAAAAATTTTTTTTTTTTTAAAAATAATAGTAGAATTAATTGTTTTATTAAAATTTTTTAATTATTTGAAAAAAAAAGAGGAAATATTCATTAGAAAAATAATTATTGAAATTAATATCAAATAATAAAGTGTTAAAATTTTAGTGATAAAATTTGATAAACAAAAAAATAAATAAACAAATACAAAAAAAAAGAAAAGACTGGTCTTTCTATTCTTTTATAATTTTAAGCAATATAATTTAAATAATTATTTAAAAAAAAAAAGAAAGAAAAGAAACAAAAAAAAATAAAAATAGGAGCCATTAAAGTAAATTAATTTTTATAATTACTTAAATCTTTTTTTAATTACCTACTATTTTATAATTATTTAATTAATTAAGTATCATTTGCAATTTCCACATAGTTTAACTTTTAAATTTTCAGTAAAATTTTTTCTTAAATAATAAAAAAAGGAAAAAGAAAGAGAGAAAGAGAGAGAGAGTTCATTAAAATAAAAATAATGAAATTTAAAATGAAAAGAAAAGGAAAACGAATGAATAAAACAAAAAAAGAAAGGAAAGAAAAATGAGAGAATAAAATTAAGCAAAATTTTTTGGATAATTTAAAAACAAAAATTTAATAGATGGAATGTGAAATGAAAAATGATAAAATCAAGAATGTACATAGAACGAAAAGAATTTTTTTTTTTAAAAAAAAAAGGAAACGAAACAAAATGAAATGAAAATTTTTGTTTAATTACAGATTAAAATTTGTTTTAAAATAAAAAAAAAAGAAAGAAAGAAAGAAAATAAATCAAAAAAAAAGTAAAAAATTCTGTAATAAAAGAAATCAAAAGTTAAAGTTTAGAAATGTTTGTAATGAAATAAAAATGAAAAAAAAAAAGAAAATTTAATGTTTAAAGAAAAAAAAAGTAATATTTATTATCAAAAAAGAAAAAAAATTAATTATATTTGCAATAATTTTTTTTTTCTTTAATAATTATAAAAAAAAATTTAAATTTATTTCATTTCCAATTTTTATTTAAATTATATTTGATTTAATTTCCCTTTTTTTTTCTTCATTTTTTGTTTTTTTTCTCTTTTCATTTATTTATTAATATAACGAATTGAAAAGAAAGAAAGAAGGAAAAAAATTGTGGAAAAAAAAATTTGTTAAAATTAATAATCTTAATTTTTTACATAAATTAATTAAAATACTATGATTACTTACTTACTTATTAATAATTACTTACCTATTAATGATATATTGAATGAAATAATAAAAATAAATTGAAATAATCGTAACAGCAATAATTGTAGTTTATTTATTTATATATTTGAATAATTATTTAATTATAATACATAGAAATGCATTTAAGTATTCACATTTAATACTTAAATGTTTTAGAAATATATAAAAATTTTAATAGGAATTTTAAAAATAATATTACACAATTAAGTAATTTCAAACAAAAAATAATGATGGAATTTTCATGATAAATTTGATATTTGTGTAAAAATAAGTTAATGTGAAAAGATATATGAATAAATAATAGCAAATTTAATTACAATACAATTTATTATTAAACTATATAATTTTAATTTTAAAAGTGAAACAAAAAAAAAACAATTATTAATTATATAATTTTAATTTTAAAAGTGAAACAAAAAAACTATTAAAATTATTAATTAATTATGTAATTCTTCTTCATCATCATCATCTCTTCTCTTCTATCCTAATAAATTATCACAATTAGTAGTAAAAAAAAAAAATAAAAACAAAGCAGATAGAATTTTGAAAATAATTATTTAAAAAAAGAATAATTAGATAAGCATTATTTAATTAATTTGATTTCTTTTTTCTTTTTCAGCATTTTATAAAATTAAATGAATAAGCGAATAAATAAATATATGTGCTAGTTTATTTTTATTTTTGGAAATTTTCACTAAATAATTTCATTTCTTTTTTCTTTTCAGTATTTTATAATGCTAGTCAAATAAATAAATAAATAATTAAACAAGTAAACAAATAAATATGTATTCTAGTTTATTTTTGTTTTTCGAAATTTTCACCAATTAATTAATTTTGTTCCTTTATCTTTTCAGCACTAAATAAACAAATAAATTAATTAAATAAATATATATATTAGGAAATTAATTCTTCAAAATTTTCAATATATGTTAGTTTTAAAAAATTTAATCATTATATATATCATTCTACTTATTTTTTATTCCTTTTACTAATTAATTACTATCACTAATTAAAATTAATTTTTTAAAATATGTTAATTTTAAAAAATTTAATAATCATATATATGTCGTTTTATTTTTTGTTCGTTTTACTAATTAATTACCATCATTAATTAAAATTAATTTTTCAAAATAAGTTAGTTTTAAAAAATTTAATCACCATATATATCATTTTATTTATTTATTGTTCGTTTTAGTAATTATTTACCATCATTAATTAAAATTATTTTTTTAAAATATGTTAGTTTTAAAAATTTAATTATCATATACATGTCATTTTATTTTTTGTTCGTTTTACTAATTAATTACCATCATTAATTAAAATTAATTTTTCAAAATAAGTTAGTTTTAAAAAATTTAATCACCATATGTATCATTTTATTTATTTATTGTTCATTTTACTAATTAATTACCATCATTAATTAAAATTAATTTTTCAAAATAAGTTAGTTTTAAAAAATTTAATCACCATATATATATTATTTTATTTATTTATTGTTCGTTTTACTAATTAATTACCATCATTAATTAAAGGTATCGGTTGGGCACTTACCTGGTTAGCTGGTGAACGATTATTCATTCGATCATTAACAGCTGCTCAAAATTTCATTTATATTTTTGCATCGATACGTAAACGTTTGGATTGGGCAATTGATTGTGATCATAGTTACAACGATCATTTATGTGTGAATTTATTACGAATTAATATTTCACATAGTAAAACAAAACATCAGCCAGATAATAATTGGCCAGCACAACAATTTAACAAGTTTGCAATTTAGTTGTTTATTTATTTATTTATTTTATTTTAAAAGAAAAAAAAGGATGCTAACTTTGTTAATTTTTATATTTATTTATATTAAATTTATTATAGGTTTTTTTTCTTTTTAAATTTGTTAAGGGTTTTTTCAAAATTTATTACACATTTTTTTTAAATTTATAGATTTCTGCTTAAATTTATTATAGGGTTTTTTTTAAAATTTATTATAGGTTTCTGCTTAAATTTATTATAGATTTTTTACTTCATCAAAAGAAAAAAAAAAGTAAAACAGATTGTTATTGTTTATTTAATTCAACTAAAATGAATGCAACTTAATAAATGAATAAATTGATTAATTGACGAAGAAATAAATTAAATTAAATTGAAATGAATGGAAAATTAATAAAATAATTGAATAAATAAGTAAATCAAATTAAATGAATAAAATAAATAAATAAATCAATTAATTAATTAATTGATTATTATGATAAAATCGATAAATAATGAAAATAAGCATATCAAAAAAATAAAATAAAATAATTATTAATTATATGCATTTTTTAGATATGGAATTCGACAATTACCACATTATACAAATTTATCCAGTTGGGTACCAAATGAATGGTACTTTGAGGATCCAAATGTTATGAGAAAATTTTCAATTGAATTTCCAGTTTTCTCACTTAGCTTTGCACATATTTTAATTTGGCTAATATTATTTTTAATTGTAAAAAAGTATGTTATATATTAAAAATTTTTTTAGCTTTAAAATTTAAATTTAAAATTTTAAAGAAAAATGTTTATAGAAAAAAATTTTTAATATTTTTCAACAATAGCAAAAAAAAAAAAGAAAAATTTTATGGATCAGGAATTTATTACTTATTTTTTTTTTTTGTTGTTGTTTTTTTCATTTTTATTTATTTATTTATTTTTATTTTTGAAGGTATGGTACTAATCCAGGATGGTTTCTTGCACGATTTTGTTTACTACTACCATTAGCTCTATGTACCATTTTAATTTCCGGTCTTACAATATTTGGTTTTTCATTTAGTAAAAGTAATGAACGTGAAATTGCACCGGAAAATATCGAAAAATATCCATTTCAGTATTTTTCTGAAATTCATGTATGTTTTTAAATTTTTATTTATTTATTTTCTCTTATTTTGCTCATTTCAATATTTTTCTGAAATTTAAATTTCTTTCTATTTTAATCATTTCAATATTTTTGTAAATTTTTTTTTTTTTGCTTTATTTAAATATATTTCAAGAAAAAAAACAAAAAACTCTTTCTAACATTTTGAAAATTTCGAAGTTATTTTTAAAGCTCTCATTTTTGTAATTAATAATACTTTTGTTCAAAAAAATAAATAAATAGAAGAAGAAAAAGAAAGTAAAATAAAGAAATATCATTTCAAATTATTAAGGAAAATTTAAAAAAAAAAAAAATCACCCAATTTTTAGTGTAGTAAAAAACTATTTTCAAATAAATCTTTATTGTAATTATCATTAATTCTGATCGAAAATAAGAATTAAATTTTTTTTTTACTAATTTATTGAAAATTTTCAATCCTTTTTTTGTTCGAGAAATACAGTTAAGCTTTAGAACAAATATAAAAAGAAATGAAATGTTTAGATTAACATTAAAAAATTTATAAAATACTTTATGGAATACTCAATAAACAAAAAAAAACGAATTAAATTTAAATTTTCAAATTTAATTTAATATTTTCCTTTTTTTCTGCTTAAAATTTCACTCATTGCTTATCTATTAGTTGATAGGCTTAATTAATTGATTAATTAACTGATTAACTTAATGATAAAACAAGCATTTCAACTTTGTGAGAGAAAATTAAACTCATCATTTATTTGCAATAAAATTTAATTCATAAATTAACATTTAGTGAAATTTAAGTAATTACTCGATATAATTGATTAATCATTTCAAATTTACCAATTGAAATAGCAATTTTTTCATTTCCATTTTTTATTTCCATTATTATTTTCATATATTTAATGATAAAATAATGCAATTATAAATTCCTATCATAATTAATTTATATGGAATGCATATTTTAATTTTAATTTTAATTTTTTTTACTAAATATAAAAAATGCATATTTTAATTTTGTTTTATTAGAAAAAAATGTTTAGAATTAATTTAAAAAAGAAAAAAAATGAAAAAACTGAAATTAATAAAATTTAATTTCTTTGTTTTTAAAATTATTTTTAGGGCTTCTTTCGTACAACAATTGCTTTAATGGATTATTCATCAGCTTTTACGGGAATTTTAATATTTGCATCGAGTCGTATTCAAACTGGGAATATGCCAATGAATAGTTTAGCACTTCTTGCGGCTCAATTAGTTATGCATAAACCATTTTTGTTTACTTTTTCTATGTATTATTATTATTTAGTAAATAAATTAGTAAAATATAAAATTTTGCATAATAAATTGGATATTTTCACCTTTTTGCTATAAGCGTAAAGAGAGAATTTATTGAATTAATTTATTTGTTTAAATTAATTAATTTATTTATTTACTTATTTATTTTTTCATTTTTTAATTGCTTTTTTAAATTGTTGTTAATAAATGATGATTTGCAATAAAGAAAATGTGAAAATTAGAAGGATTAATAATTGGTCAAATAATTGAATTTCGTGACTTTTATTATTCAATTATTGAATTATAAAATAAATAGTAAAATTTTGGCAAATACTTTTGAATTTATAATTTTTGGTCGATAATAATAATAATAATCAGTAATAGTAATAATAATGACAATAATAATAGTATTAATAGTAATAATAATAATAGCAATAATAATAATAATAATAATAATGATAGCAACAATGATAATAATGATAATAATAATAATAATAATAATAACGATAATAATAGCAATAATAATAATAATAATAATAATAATAATAATAATAATAATAATAATAATAATAATAATAATAATAATAATAATAATAATAATAATAATAATAATAGTAATAATATTAATAATAATAATCACAATAATAATAATAATAGCAATAATAATAATAATAGCAACAATGATAATAATGATAATAATAATAATAATAACGATAATAATAGCAATAATAATAATAATAATCATAATAATAATAGTAATAATAATAATAATAATAATAATAATAATAATAATAATAATAATAATAATAATAATAATGATAATAATAATAATAATAGCAACAATGATAATAATGATAATAATAATAATAATAATAATAATAATAATAATAATAAATAATAATACTAATAATGATAATAATAGCAATAATGATGGTAATAATAATAATGATAGCAATAATAATAATAATAATAACGATAATAATAGCAATAATAATAAAAGTAATTTTTGTGATATTATTAGATCGAAAAAATGAATCATTTATATAAGCGAAAATGTTGATAACAATTTAAAAAAAAAAAAAAAAATGGTAACAAAAATGTTGTGATAATATTTTAAAATAGAAATGACACATTTGAGAATGTTGTGATAATATCTTTGGAAAAATTACCATATGCGAGAATGATTTATATGAGATTACATTTAATAAAATGGCATTTTCATTTTTTTTAAAATTTTTTTTTTTAAATTTTTTAATTTATAGAAATATTAAATAGATGTGAATGTATGCAGAAATGATAAAAAATATTTTATAATTTTGCTTAAGAAATAAAATACATAATTAATAATTGCATATTAATTAGAAGAAAAGTTTTATTTTAAAAAAATAATAATTAAATAGCTAATGTTTACAAACAAAATTTTATTTTAATTAAATTTTAATTTTGTATATTTCAGTTACCACCAACATTTTTTTACGTTTTGAGGGATGGTTGCAATGGTCATTTAGCAAATGTACAACCTGCTTATGATAGTTATGCGGCTACTGGTTTGTTTTAAAATTTAAATTATTTATATTCGATTGAATCGTCTCTAAAATTTTTGAAAGTTTTATACTTATCTGTGAGAAATAATAATTCAAATTATGCAAATTTAATCATGAAAAGTTTATAGTAGAAGAATTAGATCTTATTTTTCATAAATATATTTGCTTAATTTATATGATAAACTTTTCGAGAATAAAAAAAAAAAAGAATTGATGAAGCATTTTAAATTTGCAAAAATATCAATTGAAATTATCAAGAAATTTATTTTTTCTTTTTGCAAATTAAGCCTTTTTTTTGCTTCCAACTTATTAAACCTTAAAATTAGTTTAATTAATTAATTAATTAATTAATTAATTTCATATGAAACATTTTCGTTTGATACGGCTGCGGCATGTTTTGCAACAATTACTGGTGGACCAATTTGGGCTATTATATATTACACTGCCAATTTTCTTTATACTTGTATTGGACCTATGGTTTGTATAATAAATTCATTCATTTGAAATTTATTTAATAAAATAAATTTTTTTTTTTTATAAAATTTTCTAACAATAATAAAATTAAGAAATTGCAAGAAAAAAACATTAAAATATAACCTAAAATATTAATAAGTTATGTTATACAAAGGAAAAAAATTTTTGTTTATTATACAAAAACATTTGATTAAAATATGTATGCAAAAATTTTGCATAGAAATGAATAAATTTTTAAATTTTGGATAATTATTAAAATTCTAACAACATTTAAATTGTTAACTAAGCATAGCAGAAAAAAAAATAATGATGCTAAAGGTCAAGGTTTAATTATTTAAATTAAGTTTATTTACTTTAAAATATCACAACAAAGCAATGAGCACTAATTACTTTACTCATCATTCTTTAAATTTAATACTGTAATTAAATTTGTTTCAACAAATTTAATTATCATTATCATGTGATACAATTACTATCATTTGCTGATAAAAAACAAAAATTATTGAGTAACCTGAAACAATTCAAATATTTCTTGTCTGAAATAATTTAAGTATTCTAATGAATTTAAAATAATTGAAATAATTAATCTCAGTGATGAAGCAGTTTAAGTAAGATCATATATTGCACCATAAATAAAAGAATACATTTTATTATATTACTTTATTATTTTTAAAAATATTATACCGTACCTTAATACACAAAATAAGCCATGTCACACTACCGTATCATCATATTACCGTAATGCAGATATGATTGTGGCGTAGTATTACGGTATGTTACCGTAATATAATATTATCGAATATTTAATCACATTTATTATTAATTATTATTTATTTAATATTTTTTAATAATAATTATTTATTTATTTTAGATTATACTTTTGACATTCATTTACAATTCATTCGCAGAGCAATTTGCATTTGTGGAACGATTTCGGACACTTTTATTAGCTCTGATATGTGTTGTATTTGCTACAACAGGTCTTCTACTTTGTATGCCTGTTAGTATTATTATTATTTAAAATAAATTTCTTATTTTTTTGATTTTTTAATTTTTATTAATTAAATACAATGTAGTAATTAATTACTTAATTACCACATATAGCGCTAATTATTTTATAATTAACATTTTATTTGTTAACTTTTTTTTTTTTTTTAAATCTTATTCTTAATATATGCTTTGTTAAGTTATTTAATAATTGTAATATTGATATTTTGATAATTTTTTTTCAATATTTATTAATACGATATAATCTTTCAGAAATAATTTAACGGAAATTTAATTTTTATATTTATATTCATGGAAATTCACGGAAATTTAATTTTTATATTTATAAACAGTGAAAAATTTATCTTTAAAAGATATATAATTCATAGTGTTTTTTTTTTAATAACAAAATGTATATTTTTGCAATATTTTAAGATGGGTACGTCATTTTCTACGTTATTACAATACGTTTCACAATCGTCAATCACGCAATTATTTCTTTTTATTACTGTTTTCTTTATTTATGGTAAGTTTTTTCTTCTTTAATATTAAAATTTTAAATTATCACTTGAAATTTATAGCAATTTTTTCACTGTTACTTAAAATATGACTCATATAGCAAATTTAAATTATCAATAGTATCAGTCAATTATTCTGCTGATATTTTTTTTTTTTTTTTTTGGAAATTTTGAAGGGAATTAAGAAATTATTACTATTGTTATTCAATTAAGATGAAATAATGATTATAGTATCTACAATTAGATGACAATATAGTTGACAATTTGTAAATTGAAATGAAAAACTATTTCATGGAAAATTTGAATATATATGTAATATTTTAATAGCAAAAAATAGCAAACTTATTTTGCTAATAAATTCTATTTTAAATTAATAAATTCTACTCTTTCATTGTATCATTGAATTATTGTAATAAATAATCAAAATTGCAAAAATTAATTTAAAAATTAAATTTAAAATTAATTGAAATGATTTATTAGGATGGTATAATTTGGATAATGATGTACGGATAATGATAAATACCAGCAATAATCGTTCACTGATAGCATTTTTGCTTGGCTCAACAAGTCCTCTATATACTATTTTACTATTTACATCTGTACCAGCACTTCTTGTGGTATTATTTATTATTTCTGAAATTTTTACTTAAATAATTAAAAAGAATTGATCAAAATTTTCAAATAATAAAACAATTAAATGATCATTTCAAATTTCAAATTTTAATTTAATATTCAAATTTTAGGCAAAATTAGTAAGTGTATTTGATTTGCTAATTGGTGGAATGGATATTGAAAAGCATATTGACTATGGTACAGCATTTATATCATCATCTAAAATGTTAAATCGATTCTTTGGATATTTGATTTTACTTGGACCAACAGCAATTATTACCATTTTTGCATCTGTTTCATTTTATATCAATGTTATTCTATATAGAATGGTAATAATTTGATTGATTTGAAAAAAAAAAAATTAAAACTTAATTTGAAGTATTTTCGGTTCGAAAAATTTTGATTATGTCATTTTCATTAGATGTATATTTTCCGAAGTTTAAATTTTGTCCTAAATTTCTTTAAATGTAAATAAAAAGACTCAAATTGTTTTTTTATAATGATCAATTTACAATTGAAATTTAGTATACTGACTTATTTTTATTTATTTTTTAATTTCAGTATTGTAGCTTGCTTTTATCTGGTTTTTAATTTAAAATGTTCTTTTGAAAATAAAATTCAATGCATATTTGTATAAAGATATAGCTGATTAATTCATTTCTAAAGCATTCTTCTAAAATTGTTTTATTCTAATTATAATTACAATTGTGCAATTTAATTTCATTTTAATTTCAAAGTTAAATTTAAATGAGTAATTGAAATATTAAATGTTTTAGCCATGGGGTACAATTATGGATGCTACAGCAGACTGGACTTCACATACTTCACTTAGACAGGTAAAAGTTTTTTTTTTTTTTAAACTTTGAAAATGTATTTAAAAAAATAAATTTGAATCTATTTTTTTTTAAATGAAATCATTTTATTAACAAATATTAGCACACATTAAAGAAAAAAAAATTTGAAAAGGAAATTTTAATAAAATGAACATTTTGTAAATTGAATTGTTCTATGAGAATTGTTAATATTTTTTAAATTGTTCAATGAGATTTTAAGTTAAAATAAAATTTTGCGCAAAAGAAGAGTCAAAAATTAATGATAAAATATAGTCGAATTTGTATATTTGAAATTAAAAAAGATTGCAAAATCAAAAAAAAAAGTTTTTTTTTTCATTTTAGACGACAAATCCAAAATCAGCGCCGATCTCACATCATTTATTCACCTCTTTTCTAAATATTTCTTATCGAACTGTATTATTTGTCATATTTATTGCTGAAATATTCATTGGAATCATTTTATTTTTCCTTTTTATTGGGTAAAATTTTATTTGTTAAATTTATATTTGATAAATAATTCATTATTATTATTATTATTATTATTGTCAATATTATAAAGAATAGTATAATTTTTTCTTCTTAATTATTATTATTATTACTATTGTCAATATTATAAAGAATAGTATAATTTTTTTTTCTTAATTATTATTATTGCTATTGTCAATATTATAAAGAATAGTATAATTTTTTTTTTCTTAATTATTATTATTATTATCATTGTCATTATTATAAAGAATAGTGTAGTTTTTTTTAAATTAATAATTTTAATTAATGTAAGATTAATAATTAATAATTTCTGTAACTATAGATGAAAATTTTTCAAAAAAAAAAAAACAATGAAATAATGAAATGAAATATATGCATGAAAGTTAAGAATTTGATTCGTAATTTTTTTTTTTTTTCATTTAATTTTTAATTTTCAGTAATGTATTTTACATTCGTCTAGCAACTAATAGCGCTAATATAACAGCAGCAGCAGCAGGTAATTTCCGCACTATATTATTTCTCACTCTTTTAACATTCCATATTTTATCATTAATTGAGCTACGTTGGGCATTGAAAAAATGGGATCATTCATCCAGGTTAGTTCAAAGTTTCACTTTTTTTTTGTGTAAATAAAATATTTCATCGATAAATAATTTTTAACTATGATTATAAAATTATTGCAAAATAGTATGAAATTATTTAAAATTACTGATTAAGAAAAAGAAATGATATTTTTATGATATCATTTTTATCTGCTATTTTTGTAATTATCAATAGTTTGTTAATTATCAGTAGATATTTCCTTTCCTTTTTGAATATCGATTTATTCAAACTCGTAGATTTTTGAGTAATAACAAGTAATTGCTAAAAATGATATTTTTGAGTAATAACAAATAATTGTTAAAAATGATCAATAATAATTGAATAGTTTATGAAAATACATAATATTTATATTTGTTAATATTTTAAAACTTTTTGAAATTAATAAATTAAAACGAAAACATCATTAAGCATTGTGAATGAATGTTTTTTGTTTGTTTGTGTTTTTTTTTTTTTTTTCTTTTCATGAAATTTATTTCAGATTAACAATGTATATAGCAGTTG